ACTGGGTATAATTTGTAGGCAAATATGGCAACCAATTTGTGCATGGTATTGTCTCACAAACAGGCTTGACGTGAATTACTCTTATATATTGGGGAATTGTTGGACATGACACCAGACGTGTTCTTCTTCGTTTGCATTGTGACATGTGATCCTAAACGTCCACATGAACAAGAAAATGTGATTTTGTTCAAAGTCTCATCCAACGAATGGCACCTCGAACAATGCAGGACATCCCCATCATTACATTGTAGAGGGAGATTTACTCCAGAAGTATGCGATTTGGCCCATCCTATATGTACCCTCATTTTGAAGGGCAGTTGATTTACAAATAATCATGCGTTCCAGCTCTTGCTCAAAATTCCTCAATGTTTTTACTTCTGTTTTCATTGGTTGAGAGGTAACTTTCTCCAGTTAAAAGTTGAAACGGTGGTGGTGAAAGGGTAGTGGTGCATTACCTGTTTGCCCCACCATCAACAAGTGGGCCTTCAGCCATTTTGCCCCAAACCTCTAGAACTTCATTCAGGAATCTCTTCCCTTTTCCTTGCCTTCTATCCTTGAAGGCCAAACTCAACTCCTTTATCTTCGGCCATGCCTTGGTCATTCTCCCACCCCAACCCACGTAATTCCGGTTGCAGCTCGGGTGCAAATGCTTGGTTGTTCAGCACATTGCTATGCCATCCCAACTTGAAACACACCACATAATTGCATTTTTTTCCTGCAGTTGTCAGTCATTAAGTGACTTTTATTATGGTGGAGCGCCTGCCATTATGATTAGCCTAATTTTGACAGTCTAAAATATACTGTCTTGGAGCTATCTCATCACAAAGGAATCCCCACTAACCTCATTCCTCCCGCACCCCTCTGCCCGCTGGAAGGATTTACATGAGTTGGAGATTCAAGCGCAGTTTTCAAAAATCATTGGATGAAAGCTGAGCCTCTGTATTATGATGTGAAACGCTGGAGAGTATCACTACCATTCTCCTGACCAAAGTGTGGGCACACAGCCATGTTACAACAACAACACAAAATTACATTTATAGAGCGCCTTTCACGTTGGGAAGACGGCCCAAAGCGCTGAACAGTCAGGCGTCGGGGCCTGAGCATGGGGGAGGGGTGGCATAGGGGTGAGGGAAGGCAGAGAGGTGGGAGGGAGACCAAAGGCATGGTCAAACAAAAGGGTCTTGAGACCGGCCTTGAAAGAGGCAAGGGAGGAAGCGAGGTGAAGGAACCATGGGATGGAGTTGCAGAGTGTGGGTGCAGAGAGGCTGAAAGCCCATCCTCCAATGGTAGGGTCCAGTCAGTTGAGAGACATGGAGCAGGCCGAATCCTCCTGAACATAGGGAGTGGGCAGATTGATAGGGACTCAGCAGGTCAGAGAGGTAGGAGGGGGTAAGGCCATGGATGGTCTTGAAGGTGAGGGCGAGGATCTTCACTCAATCCTCCAGGGAATGGGGAGCCAGTGGAGCCGGACGAGGGTGGGAGTGATGGGTTACGGAACCTGTGCGTGAGAGTGTACGAGCTGAAGAGTTTTGGATGATTGGCCTCTTGAAGGGTTAGAAAGGCCGATGAGTTCCTGGGAGTTCCCGTAATCGAGCCTTGATGTGACGAATACGTGGGTGAGGGTTTCGGCAGCTTGAGGGGTGAGGCAGTGGCACAGTCTGGCAATGTTGCAGTGGTGGTGTAGGCAGTGCTGATCGTGGATGTGGGGAAGAAAGGACAGTTCAGGGTCAAGCAAGATACCCAGGTTCCTGACTGGCTTAGTAAGGTTGAATGTGCAGCCATGGAGACTGATGCTGCCAGCGCCTGAGGTACGGAGGCATGGGTGCGAGCCAATCAGGAGGGCCTCAGTCTTGCTTATATTGAGATGGAGAAAGTTGGCCCTCATCCATGACTTGATGTCAGACAGGCACAAGACAGTGCGGGGGCTGGAGGAGAAGCCATTTGCCACAATGAATTGGAGGTTTTGTGAAACGTAGGACCTGAACCAGTCAAGGACGGAACCTTGAAGGTTGAGGTGGGAGGGTAGTCGGTGGAGGAGGATTGAGTGGTCCATGGTGTCAAAGGCGGCAGAGAGGTCGAGGAGGACAAGGAGCCAAAGGGAGCCCTGGTCACACACGGTCAGGATGTTGTTTGTGAACTTGACCGTAGCAGTTTCCATGCAGTGGAAAATGTTAACACTCATAATGGAGAATACACAACCTGGTAAAATTAAACTTCTGATGTGCATATGTCCTCCGGTGGTACCAAACAGGATATTCTACAGTAAATACTTCAGACAATATATATCGAATTGAACAACTGTCAGGATTTCTATTGAAAATTCTAGGGCTATCATTGTTGAGAGTAGTGGTGCATTGTCAGAGGTTTCATTTTTTGAATAATAAATAATAAATAATAATCCTTCCATTTGATATAGCATTTTATGTTTTCTGGACGTCTCAAAGCGCCTCACAGAATAGAATGTAAAATGAATTGAATGTATATTTGTGGGCGAAATGCGGCAGCCAATTGCACGCAGCAGTGTCACACAAACAGTTATGGATTGAAATGACCAATTTATTATTGTTTATTTTTCTTGAGGAACTATTATCAGGTGTGTGAAGAAAGAAAACTTGCCCAAGGTTTCACCCTGCCAGGAATCAAACCGAGGTCTCTCGCTTATAAAGCGAGTGCTCTAACCCCTGAGCTATAGGACTCCACAATACGATGCTAAACTAAGTTGTTATTTCTTCGGGTAGACATAAACGTTTCTGTCAAATTAATTGAAAAGCAAAAGAACTTAGTTATACATAAGTGAAATTAATGTTTCAGTTATTGATTCAAAAACAACAATAACTTCCAAATATATAGTGCCCTCCACGCAGGTAGCGTCTCAGGAAGCTTGATTTCTTGTGCTACGTGTAGTGATTGTTTCACATTTTGCTTCTGTGAGAGTGAGCAAACTGTTTTATTAATTGTGAGGCAGCGCCCTCTACGGATCGAGTGTTTCAGTTGAACATGATTCTCTTGCTCCTCACCCTGTTCTGGTCTGTCACAATGTACGATTACTTGGGTAGAAATACAAAATTGCTCAAAAAATACTCTATAAAACTATCATATGAAAATTGTCAACCTAAAATTGCCACCCTGTTTAATTCATGTTTAACTTTGAGAACCGTTTTCTGTTGTTCAATAGAACCAGGTGGAATTTCTACTGAAATATAAACAAAGAACAGGGAAGTTGATTTCTTTATTTCTCTTATGAACAGGAAGAGGGACAATGCTCGGTGCTTTATACTGCTGATGTCTTTACAATGATGATAATTCCAAAAGGAAAAAATGATAAATACTTGAACGTATATAGTTACATTGTTATTGTGATGTCCCAAATATCCTTATCTAAAGACAACACTTTATACCGTATCGAAATTTATTCTCAGGTATTGGGTGCAACTAAAATCAAATATAAAGGTTCCTGAAAGATGGCCAAAATAACCTGTTGAATTCCTTTGCCCCATGAAAGAACAAACAACAATTTGCAGTTTTGACTCACAAATTAGCGCATGATTCAGAATGCATAAACGTAGATGTCGGACCTGGTTGGTCCTGATAACTATTCATAACCAGTAATATATGCAAGTTTGCAGATTAAGAGAGTAGTGAACTATACCCTGTGAATGTAAAAAACACTCCACTTACTGCCACTTGTGTTGAGTGATGCAACAATCATGGGTTGTATTGGTTCCTTCAATTGTACTATTCAGTTCTAACGAATCAATTCTCCCGATGCAAACATAAATACCGATTATTACATTATCCACAGCTAAGGGTCAATTTCATCTGAGATTGATAAGATTACGATTTTAGAAATGTATTGAAAAAATGTTGTAAACTACTATAACACTACATTACCGGCTCCTCCTGTGATATTGCAGATATGTTATACGTCTAGTTATCCTCTTATCATAGATCCAATTAAATAATCCGATATTTTGTACTTATTTAAGTATTGATCTACAACGATGCAAAATATAATTTGATTTGAAGGTTGCAATAAGGGGAAAGAATTAACAGGAATAATGCAAACTTGAGCTGTTGAAATAAACTGCAGGTGTTAAACAGTCATCGAAATGCTGCAAAGGGGAAGTTGGTTTCTCAACAGCAGGATTGGGGCACGCTGGTACCCACAAGATGGAGGGGGGAGGGGGGTTGGGGGGTGGGAAGTGGGGCCGGGGGAGGAGTAAATCTTCCATGAGCTTTTGGGGGAGGGTACATTTTCTCGTTTCATTTGCATCTGATTGGCTGATGGACAGCAGCTTTTAAATATGTTGTCACTCCTTTTGACAAAATAAAAGCTTAGCGTGAAGATTGTATTAAGTAAATGGTTACGTATAAACGTTGATTTAGTTCTATACACAATGGTGGCCTGCAGAGGAGGGGGCAAAATTAGCTCAGTGAATGAGCTTCTAAATCCTGGATGAATTTTCGCCAATTTTGGTGCAGAACATTTCATATGCGATTCGCCTATAAGAACGATCATGACTTCATCTTTAACGTTGTGCAATATTTTAAATTCACTTTAATTTTAATTCATTTTCAGTTCAATTTCAAAGTTGTTTCTTTTTAAGAACCTCATGAAACGGCTCCAAGATAACGACCGAAATTAATATATTTCCCAAATTCTGCGCAACACATTTTACATTTTACGACGCAATAGTTTGGGGGCTACAATTAACTAAACCCAATTATAGCCGCTGACGCCTCTGTGCCACACTCCTCAGAAGAAGTCTGAGGCAGGACAGCAAGATGCTGAATGTGCTATTCGTGCTCCCTCATGAGTGTATAATTTCCTGGAGGAATATTGCTTCCCGTGTGACGGCATTCTGTGGTTTTTCCAGTTTATTACATTTTCAATGTTTATCTAAATGTCCATATAATAATAAACAATAAAACTAGTGGTTTGCGAAAAAAATGAATGAAATCAAGAAATAAATGGAAGAAAAACAGCCGCGGCACAGAGGACAATGCAAGAGTCATTTTATTAATCTGTGATATATCTTATTTCTGTAATTTTACACAATGGGTTTGATCATTGCAGCGTGAACACATCGTAGGATACAACCATTCAAGTCCAGCAAACTGACAAATATTGATCTTGCCGGATTTATTGCAATACTTGAAACATTTAAGTCTTTGGTTGGGAAATTTACCAAAAGTGTTTACAAAGCGAATTTGTTTCTCAATTTCGACATGTCTCGTAAAATTAACTTAAATTCCAAAATACTACAATCACAAGTATTATTATTAAAGGTAGATATTCGATTAGTGCTCCACATTCCTGATTTAGGTACAACTGGATCTGGCGATGCTTTTTTCGAGCGGAATCGTCAGACTCTCGTGTTTGACCACACAGGAATACAGGTCGTGTGACTCCCACTCGGAGGTTGGCAGAGTCAGATAACTGCTCACACTGTACGTGTTGTCCGCCTGCTGTTTGATCGCACTCGTTTCAACACCTTCACTTCTGGTACCGCCATCCACAGTCCACTCGACCTCCACAGCTCCCGGGATAAAATCATTCACCAGACACACCAGGGTCGCCTTGCTCTTTGCTGTGATTTGATCTGGTGAAGGCGGAAGGACAGTCACCGAAGGGCCCTGTGAGTCTGGAAGGAAAAAAAATAGTATTCAGATCATGCCACTACATGATGAATTAAAGTGGTTGAAATTACTTTTCTTAACAGTTTAAGATTGCGTCCTGTTCAATCGCACGACACAACTTCAAGTTCGCTAATAAATGCTGCAATACAGTAATTTACATTTGTGTAAATGGTAAAACATGTTCTTGTCTATTGGCGGTACTGTTCAATTGTAACAAAGTCTATCTATATCAAGGGAACATTCAGTGTTGGGGTCACGGCTGATAGACAAATGCCTGGGGGCTGCTCATCATACACCGCTCATTACTATGCATACTATTATTAGTTGGCTGATGAGCGTTTAAATGGGGACAACACGTTCAAATATTCCGGTATTGTTAATTGTATCCATTGTTTCCCTTCACAGAGGAGAGAATGTGCAGCAAATAGACATAAATATCTATGTTTGAAACTGAACAGCGCTTTCCGATTAACTCTGTGTAAATGTAAATCGCATTATTCGGCTTTAAATCCAATTTTGCGCAAACTAAATTTCCTTGAGAAGGCAGATGCTAATCTTTGAGAGATGTTTGGGACTTGAAAAATCGCCATTCACGAAGGTAGGTAGTTTGTTATTGATACATCAAAATGTGATTATTTATCAATACAATCCGAATATTAGTGATTCCGAAGATCAAACTGAATCTTTTTGGAGTATATATATACATGCCGATAAAAATAACAGCCCAAATGCTTTCACCCCAACTATAAATAAGCAGTTCCATCATTGATGTTTGTTTACAGACACCGGCAGCAGATAGTAACAACGTGAACATCTCTTTTCACCAAACACTGTACACAGAAAATTAATTCAGGAGCACAATCAGATTCCAATATTTCAATCGCTGCGGAGAATAACTTCACAAGTCTTCAATAATTGATTTGACACTGTATTTACGGAATGTAGTTCCTAATTAATGGCATCATACAATTAAAGTTAATACATAGGTCGGGCACTCCTTAACCTCACAACTAATAATAAACAACAACGTTAATTTCCAATGGAGAAAATATATTTTGTGTGTTGAGCGGATTGAGCCGTCTCTCGGGCTGTGTCTTCTCTCACAGTTGATCATATCTGAACAACTACAGCAACTTGTAGTTGAACATACGACATTACTGAGCATTTGCTGTTAATTGCAGTTGTGCTCCCCTTGGTGACATGAAACACGGAATTGGGAGAAAATAAAACATTTTAAGAAATCCGGAAAGAAATCTACAGAAAATTGTTAATAGAAGCGTTTGTTAACGGGAGGAGTAATATTTCCACGTCATGCTATTCCTCTGAGACTTTTTACCTTTGCTAGTTTTCTGCACTATCCGTCCTAATCCTTAACAGATTCTCAGTTAAAATCAGGATTCGCATGTTTGATTCTTCAAAATATCCGATTTCCAAATAAAACGTTTGTCATTGCGAAGATTATAGCCACATGCAAATATTACCAGAACAGAGTGAAACAGAATCCAACACAGATAAACATACATTTGTACTGTGGAATCTTTGAAGGAGAACCAGATCAAAATAATTATCGAAAAGTCGAAAAACCACATGCAAAGTGTGCAATGTCAAAGATCACTTACTTTTCAAACTCAGCTTCGTCCCTTTACCGAACTGGTACACCCCACTGACACCGGCAAAACAGTAATAATCGGCGGCGTCCTCCGGTTGCACACCGCTGATGGTTAAATGCATGGCGTTGCTCGATGAGTCCACAGAACCAGTGAATCGATCAGGAATACCCGGACCTCTGGTGGAGCCCTCATACCAAACAAACAGAGGGGCGCCGTCAGGCTTCTGCTGGTACCAACTCGTGTAATAGCTGCCGATGCTGCCTCCGGACATGGTACAGGTGATCTTGACGGTGTTTCCCGGGGAGGATGAGATGGACGAAGGCTGAGTCAGGGTAACAGCTCCGGTTGTGCCTGGAGAGATAACAAGTCACATATAGGTCACATTGTTGAACTGTACAAAGTGAATTTAGTTCAAATCAGTGCGGATTCCGCAGCGCTTACCATGTAGACACAGGAGCAAAGCGGCTAGAAATCGGAGCCAATTGCCCATTGTGAACAGTTTGATGAAGATCAGAGAGATGAGGAATTTTCCAGACAAAATCCACTTTTCTGCTTCGTTCTAAACTTCTCCTTAAGAACCATCAGGTGATGTAAGTCCAATTAAATTCTTAAAGTATGCAAATCACTATCCAGGTTGCATCGTCCAATAGGAGTCCTTATTCTGAACAGCATATTGAAGATCATGCAGATTTGAGTCATTTTACTGCCCATTTTCGAAAAGATATTTCATGGTAATATTGCATAACATTTCACCCTGAAGAATTTGATTGAATGAAGCTCATTTCCATTTCCAATATGAAATAGAGATTTTTTAAAAATAGCATAAACTTCATAAAGTTCACAGAGAATTACCTTGTTGAGCAGCTTGTATCATGTTCGATAATTTGTTGGTGCGAACGTTTCATCCTTCCATTCAGGTACAGTTTATACACTGACATGCCCCACGCCTGACTTGAAAGTCACAGAAAGTCACACTTTACAGCCAGTGCGAGCATTACTCAAACTACATGTACGGATTATAGATTTTTGAAAATATAAATGGTGCTTGTCTCCCTTAAGTAGAATAAGAGATTGATTCACAATCCTTTGATGCTAGAAGAAAGCTTCTATCATGAAACGTTATCAACGCTCTGTTGATAAATAATAATAATAATAACAGTAATAATGATAATAATAATCCTGACATTTAATATAACCACTTATTACGTCTTCTAGACATCTCAAAGCCCTTCACAGAATGTATTGTAAAGTGAATTGACTGTATATTTGCGGGCAAAGTGCGGCATCCAATGCTGCACAGCAGAGTCTCACAAACAGACGTGGATTGAAGTAACCAATTTATTATTGTTTTTTCTTGAGGGATTATTATTAGGCTCGGTGTGGAGTAAGGATACTTGCCCAAGGTTTCGCCCTGCCGGGATTCTAACCCAGGTCTCTCACTTGCAAAGCGAGTGCTCTAAAGACTGAGCTGCAGGAGGACAGCCCGCATTTAGAGATCGGTGTTTATGATATAAAATTGTCATACAGCGTTTCTCCTGTTAGTAACATCGAAGGGCAACGCCACAGATGACACATGTGGTGCTCAAAACTTGGCTGTAGCCCATCTATACCAAATACTACCCAGAATCAGGAAACTGGTGTGACAAGGAGAGAGAGGCCATGGATTTCCATCCCAGTCACAGGGAAATTGCCGCGCTAACATGGCACGAATGTATCTCCGATAGAATGTTACAGCGGATGTCGTTTGTTACGCATTTGTGTACAGCAGTGTCCCACAAACAGTCGTGGTTTGAAGTGACTAATTTATCATTGTTTTATTTTCTTGAGGGATTATTATCAGGCGTGTGGAGTAAGGAAACTTGTCCCACACTGCTGGGAATCGAACCCAGGTGTCTCACTTGCAAAGCGAATACTCTAACCACTGAGCTACAGGACTCCACTTATTTCTTTTCGGCCAAGGAGATGTTCCTAGAGACACTCGTGGAAGGAAAAAGATAGTTTTGATTAGATACTATAAACGAGTGACTGGAAGTGTTGCTTTATGGAACATATTGTGAATTAGACAATGCTAAACAGTTAGCGATTTTTCAGGTCAAATATTAAGTGAATCAGTTCGATATCGTCACATAGGAATCCGGTCAGTGCTCTGATCTCATTCCCCACTTGCTTTTATGTTATATTTTGTTTCTTTTCACCAAAATACTAGGAAGAGGCTATATTGTATGAAAAGGTTTGCACTTTGACATATTGTTAATTTACCAATTAAATGTTAGGAAACATCGCATATCATTTTTCTCATCTTATCTTCGAAAAGAACCTCATACTAAATATGTTTGTAATGAAGGTAAGTTTCCCTATGTTTAAATAAACCACAATGAATTGAAGCGTCCCTGCATCATTTTGCTCTATATTAATGGTGCTTTTCTGATAAAACATTAATAACTGTAAATCTATATTTCCTTCCAGGGAACAGAGATGCGATGGCATCAAAACACAAACACTCAATTCCGATCTTCTGCACCTGTTGCTTGCGGCTATAATGTGATGTGCAAGGGAACGAGAAGTGAGAAAGCAGATTTGCGTTCATCTACCCGCTGAAGGAAGAAAAGTGCTGTTTCCACCAGCGTTCCCACTCGCTTGTGTTGAATTCTGGCATACGTAAACGTTAAATGGCCTGTACATGCGTAGAAACGCACAACAGCCTTCATTTTTTAAAAAAAAAGTACTCCTGCAGTTCATGTTCTGTGTTAGAAATGAAATATATCGATTATAATACTTTTGATATACACTTCTCATATCAGGAGGACGATTCATGATGCTTCACTGGATATACTATTTTATAGGCAAATGTGGCAGTCAATTTGTACATGGTCATGTCTCCCAAACAGCCTTAAAGTGAATGATAATTACAGTTAGGGAACCGTTGGTCATGACACCAGACTTTTTCTTCTTTACTTGCATTGTGACATGTGATCCTTAACTTCCACATGTATAGAAAAATAACATAACAAAACATGTAGGAGTAGGAGTAGACCATTCGGCCCTTCGAGCCTGCCCCACCATTCAATCATGGCTGATCTTCTAATCTAACTCCTTATCCCCAAATCACTTAATCCCTTTTGCAATAAGAAATCTATCTATCAAAGTCTTGATTATGTGATTTTGTTTAAAGTCTCATCCAATGAATGGCACCTCCAACAATGCAGGACATCCGTATCATCACATTGCAGCAGGTGATTTACTCAGATCTTCAGTTTTGTAATCATTTTTACATTATAGACATTATAATGTTTTTAAATTATACTTTATGTTAACCAAAATACTGGGTTTATCATCCAGGATGCATTGTGTGGAAAAGTATACACTTTGGAATATTGATAAACTTTCAATCAACTGTTAGAAAATGTTGGATACCATTGTTCCCTTCTTACCTTGGAAAAAGTCCTCAAATTAAATATTTTTTTAATATACCTTTTATATATTTACTATCTCTGCCTCTACCCTCAACTCCAGGACTACTGGCATCCTAACCGACTGCCTGTTTGACATAAAGTCTGGACGATGGACAACTTTCTCCAATTCAACGTCAGCAAGACCGAAGTCTTGGCTCATGCCAGCACCTCTGCACCTCGGGCACTGGCAGCATCAATATCCACGGCTGCACATTCAACCTCTCAAAACCAGTCAGGAACCTGGGTGTCTTGTTTCACCCTGAACTGTCCTTCCTTCCCCACATCCGCGCCATGACCGGCACTGCCTACCACCACCTCTGCAACATTGCCAGACTCCGTCACTGCCTCACCCCTCAGGCTGCCGAAACCCTTATCCATGCATTCATCACATCAAGGCTCGATTACAGAAACTCCCTCCTCATTGGCCTTCCCAACTCTTCCCTTCACAAGCTGCAGATAATTCAAATCTCTGAGCTCGTGGATTCGCAAGCACCAGGCTCCGTTACCCCATCACTACCACCCTCACCTGATTCAACCGGCTCCCCATCCCTCAGCGGATCGAATTCAAGATTCTCATCTTCACTTTCAAGGCCTTGCCCCGTCTTAGCTGACCTCCAGACTCCCTACCAACCTGCCCGCTCCCTCTGTTCAGCAGGCCCCATGTCCCCCGCAAGGTCCACCCTACCACTGGTGACCGGGCTTTCAGCCTCTGTGCCCCACACTCTGGAAATCCATCCATCCCTGAGGGACACCGCACGAGACAGTGCGGGGGCAGTAGGTAAAGCCATTCGTGGAAACAAAGTGAAGACTGTGGGAGAGATACGACCTAAACCACTCAAGGACAGGGCCTTGAAGGTTGAGGTGGGAGGACAAGTGGTGGAGGAGGAGTGCATGGTCGACCGTATCGAATGCTGCCGATAGGTCAAGGAGGACGAGGAGGCAGTGGGAGCCCTAGTCACAGATGATCAGGATGTCATTGGTGACCTTGACCAGGGCAGTTTCTGTGCTATGGGCAGCACGGAAACCCGACTGAAGGGGTTCGAATAATGAATGGGTGGAGAGGAAAGAGCGCAGCTGGGAGGCGACAACTCGTTCCAGGACCTTGGACAGGAAGGGGAGGTTGGAGATGGGCCGGTAGCTTGATAGCTGCGACGCATCAAGGGAGGGTTTTTTCAAGGTGGGAGTGATGGTGGCAGTTTTTAAGGGAATGGGAACAGAGCCAGAGGAGAGGGACAGGTTGACGATGTCTGTGATATGTGGGTCAAGGAGGTGGAGCTGGGAGATAAGGAGTGGAGTGGAGATGGGGTCAAGGGAGCAGGTGGTGGGTTTCAGCGATAGGATGAGTTTGGTGACAGAGGGTGGGAAAACGGGTACGAAAGTGTGTAGGGGAGGATGGGTAGGAGTCGGAGTGTGAGAGGGAGAGGGTGGGGGTTGGGTGGATGTTGGAGGAGAAGTGACTGCGGAACGAATTTCCTTAATTTTGGATTCAAGGAAATCCAGCATCTCCTCGCAGTGAAGGTTGGAGGAGATGACCTGCACTGGGTGGCGGGGGGGACAGAGGAGTCAGAATGTGGTAGAAAACAGTAGCCTGGGGTTGTTCTTCGCCTCCAGGATTATCCTGGAGTAGAAGGACGACTTGGCCGAGGCTAGAGTGGAGCGGTAGATTTTGAGGAGGTCCAGCCAGATTTGTCGGTGGACCGTTAGGCCAGATTTGACACAGGTGCGTTCAGCAGCCCGCACCTGGCTTTTCAGTGAGCGGAGGTGGGTGGTGAACCAGGGGGAGGAGCGAGAGTAGGAGACAGTACGGGAGGTGATGGGGGCAAGTGTATCGAGTGTGGAGGAGAGGGTGTTGTGGAGGAGGGTGAGAGGAGAAGAGGGGTCAGTGAGGGTTGAAGGCCAGAGGAAGTGGAGTTCAAGAGGACTCCAAGGCAACGGTTAGGGATTGTGGGGGTAACTTCTTCCAAGGGTGGTAGAAGATGGTGGTGGGTCTGGTGGAGGTGGGGAGGGGGGTGGAGGTGGTGAAGGAGATGAAGTGCTGGTCGGCCTTGTCGTTGATAGTGACATCTGAGACACTGAGACCCCGGTGATCACCAAGTCGAGTGGGTGGCCTTGACTGTGAGTGG